AATTATAAACAACTCTTAAATTCAATCAGTAAAGAAATTTCTGTTAAGTGCTACTGAGTCACTTCTAACTCACAATGACCCTGTATAGGGTTTCTGAGGCTTTGAATCTTCTCGGGAGCAGACAGCCTTATCTTTCTTCTACAGAGTGGTGGTGGGCTTGACCACAGACTTTATGGTTCGTAGTCCTGTACTCATCATATGGAAGCACCACAATAAAAAGAAACTGTAAACAGATGTAAAACTTTTCAGCTCTCTAGTGTTTAGGAATTAACATACTTTTATGACTTTGTTTTCCTAATGGCATGATAGCATTTTTATTTTACCATTTTTAACATATATATTTGAACAATTCAGAAGCCAATCTACTGGAATACTTCTTAAATAATTTTTTAATGCAAAATTGGTAAAGGGATATCTGACTTTTCTAACATCATTTTTATAAGAATGTTGGATTCAGATACTAGCTCTGTTTTCCTACAATGTTTGCTAAAAATCTGGGTGTTTCCCTTACATGGAATTAACATTATTTTAGAAAAATGAACCTTCACAAAAGAATTGTCAAGTGAACAAAATATTTTACTACTCCACAAAATACAACCCACACATAAAAAATATGTTTGTAAATCCAAGATACAATGTTTTGTTATGTGCATCCTAGTTGGTCTGACTCATAGTGACCCTGAATAGGGTTTCAAAGGAGTAACTGGTGGTTTGAACCACAAACCCTGTGGTTAGCAATCCAGTACTTATCTTCTAGCACCATACCAGGACTCCTTAGGCATTGAGTAAGTCACTATCAACTTAATTATCTTTACTATAATTTTTAATAAATAAAAAATATCCTCACCCATGGTCTACAAATAATAGCTTTCAACAACAACAATTCTCAAGTGGTAAAAATTTTTACATATTTTAAAAATAAATCATTTACAAAATTTTCTGTGGAAATTAAGGAACACATTAAGAGAACAAAAAAGTTATTTTTGTTGGTTTTCTTTTTATTGAGAATTTCCATAAGATATTGTCCTA